CTCCGCGGGTTCTCGTCCCACAGGCGTGCGTCTGCGGGTTCGAGACCTCTGCGGGTTCTGGGTCCCACAGGCGTGCGTCTGCGGGTTCGAGACCTCCGCAGGTTCTCGGTCCCACAGGCGTGCGTCTGCGGGTTCGAGACCTCTGTGGGTTCTCGGTCCCACAGGCGTGCGATTGCGGGTTCGAGACCTCTGCGGGTTCTCGGTCCCACAGGCGTGCGTCTGCGGGTTCGAGACCTCTGCGGGTTCTCGGTCCCACAGGCGTGCGTCTGGGTTCGAGACCTCCGCGGGTTCTCGGTCCCACAGGCGTGCGTCTGCGGGTTCGAGACCTCTGCGGGTTCTGGGTCCCACAGGCGTGCGTCTGCGGGTTCGAGACCTCTGCAGGTTCTGGGTCAGTTCCTGCAGCCGATCTCCTCCTTGTAACGGGTGGTGAGCGTGTCGGCTTTACGCGTCAGTTTCAACAGAACGGCGTGGAGTCCGCTCAGGTGGAAGTGAAACTGTTTCTCCAGGTCGTCCTCCTGCGCCCCCTCGGCCACGCCCACCTTCTCCTTCCGCCGCTCCTCGCCCTGCAGGACGCCCCACTCGATGTCGTTGCGGATGGACTTGAGCAGCACGTACGAGCCGTACATGTCTCCTTCCTGTTGGAGGTAGGCGGGGCTGTTTGTGGCGAGGCTGTTTGAGGCGGTCACCGGCGCCTTCGCGTCCTCTGCGTCGTCCAATGGGACGTCCCGCAGCAGGCTGGGCACCATCACCGTGTGGTCCATGTTGTTGACGGCGCCGATGAAGCGGTTCATGGCGTTGAAGAGAGAGTTCTTCTGGTTGTAGGAGTCAGATATCTGCATCATGGCGAGCTGCAGAGCGCCGTGTGTCACAGTCCGGGGACAAACTTAGCCCGATAAAGCTCTTTAGAGGATTACAGCCTGATCCCGGGTCAGGATGGACCAGAGCCCACAGGAGAACTCACCTCATGGATCAGGGTTTACTCTGCTGACCCCGCTCTGCATGCGGGACGCGACCCAGCTGTTTCACCACACAGGGACAGAGGCTACACTAAAACCACAGAGGAAGAAACGGTGAGGAGCAGGTTCATTAAATCAAGAGAAGAAGACAGAAAGTTAGTTTATCTTCCAGCTCAGCAGGCACTGAAACACAGGAAGTCTGTTAGCATCAGCAGGCTAACAGGAGCTAACCGTTTAACGGACTAACGGAACCGGAACACTCCCGGTTAGCTCTTTGATTTAAAGAGTTAAAACACAGAAACGACAGACTGAAGAAGAAGATTTAAAATGCTTCTGATACGACACTAAGCTAACGTTAGCATCCTCCGAACACCCGGTGTGCGCAGCGGCGGGACTGTTAACCGTTAAACCTCCAGCTTCACCTTACCGTGCTTCCGGTGATGTTTCCGGTGATGTTTCCGGTGATGTTTCTCGGTGTTGTTGGTGTGTCTGCAGCAGCTTCAGCCCGGTAAGCTTTCCGTTATGAGGGTCTGTTTTGGGAGCAGCAGCCGGTGTTACAGGGCGGAGGGGCGGGGCGTGAATTAGCAGGAAAGAGCGACACAGCCAATCACCGGGCGGGAAGACTTGTGACGTCACGAGAACGCAGGACATACCGTCCGCTGAGAGGTGTCAGGTTACACTTTAATGTTTACTGTGTGTGTTTACTATCAGAGTGGGAAACACTTTTATATAACTGGAGACTAATTTACATTTAAGAAAACATTTTAACATTTAAGAAAACATTTTAACATTTAAGAAAACATTTAAGAAAACATTTTAGAAAATATTAGAAAACATTTTAACATTTAAGAAAACATTTTAACATTTAAGAAAACATTTAAGAAAACATTTAAGAAAACATTTTAACATTTAAGAAAATATTTTAACATTTTAGAAAATATTAGAAAACATCTTAACATTTAAGAAAACATTTTAGAAAATATTAGAAAACATTTTAACATTTAAGAAAATATTTTAACATTTAAGAAAACATTTTAACATTTAAGAAAACATTTTAGAAAATATTAGAAAACATTTTAACATTTAAGAAAATATTTTAACATTTAAGAAAATATTTTAACATTTAAGAAAACATTTTAACATTTAAGAAAACATTTTAGAAAATATTAGAAAACATTTTAACATTTAAGAAAATATTTTAACATTTAAGAAAACATTTTAACATTTAAGAAAACATTTTAGAAAATATTAGAAAACATTTTAACATTTAAGAAAATATTTTAACATTTAAGAAAATATTTTAACATTTAAGAAAACATTTTAACATTTAAGAAAACATTTTAGAAAATATTAGAAAACATTTTAACATTTAAGAAAACATTTTAATTTTTTTTTTTTTAAATATTTATTTTTGGGCTCTTGTGCCCTTAATGAAGAGATAGGACAGTGGATAGAGGTGGAAATCAGGGAGAGAGAGTGGGGATCGACATGCGGGAAAGGAGCCACAGGCTGGATCCGGACCCGGGCCACCCGCTTCGAGGACCACAGCTTCCATACATGGGACGCGCGCACCAACCACTGCGCCACCAGCGCCCCAAACATTTTAACATTTAAGAAAACAGAATAAAAAAATAAAAACCATTTGACCAAGGACAGAACTCATTTATATTTCAGAAAACAAGATTACAAGATGTGAAAGCACCAAGATAAAGTTACATACAGTGTTATGTGGAGTGGCACCTCGTGGGAGAATGAAAACACCTCTGAGACTTTAAAGATTAAAAAAATGCAAATTGAAATATAAAGTTTATTATATAAAGACATTTTTGAGAGTTTTTGTTGAATGAGATGAAAACTGGTTGAGCTGACGTTAATTATCCATCAGAATGAGACTCACTAACATCATTTACATTATGAGTAAATGAAACAGCGCCCCCATGTGGCTGTATGTAATCATCACTGTCGTTTTTAATCTCGGGCTCAAATAGCGCGCAGGATCAGAGTGGATTTAGAACAAGAAGCTTCACAGACATGTTGTGAGGAGCTCTGAGAGAGGAGGAGGAGGATATATGACCTTTAAGGCTCATGTCACTGTGAGAGACATTTTGGACCTGCTGCTTGCCGTACTGACACAGAGTCACTCTGTTCTCCTCACATTCACATTAAAACCTTTAAATCAAAGTTGGAGACAGAAATATAATCAACACAGAATCACAAGGCAGCGGGCCATCTGAAGTCTTTTATTGTTACAGATATTAATGATGTTGTAGTTTAATTTGACCTGAGCTCAAACACAAAGACGGAGAATCGACCAATCAGCTTCAACGTGGAGACCAAACACAGACAGAAGAGGGAAATCATTCAAAGCCTCAGAAATAAATAAAAAGAGGAATCTCGACAGCTGTGTGTGTGTGTGTGTGTGTGTGTGTGTGTGTGTGTGTGTGTGTGTGTGTGTGTGTGTGTGTGTGTGTGTGTGTGTGTGTGTGTGTGTGTGTGTGTGTGTGTGTGTGTGTGTGTGTGTGTGTGTGTGTGTGTGTGTGTGTGTGTGTGTGTGTGTGTGTGTGTGTGTGTGTGTGTGGGGTGTTGCCTGGTTTCTATGGTGACGAGCATCCCCGTCTCTTTCCTGTAAATGTATGAAATAAAAAGAACAAGAAAGTTAAAGTTTGGTGAAAAGATTCTTGTTCTCAGGATTTCTAAGAGTGTGTGTGTGTGTGTGTGTGTGTGTGTGTGTGTGTGTGTGTGTGTGTGTGTGTGTGTGTGTGTGTGTGTGTGTGTGTGTGTGTGTGTGTGTGTGTGTGTGTGTGTGTTACCTGTTACACCATCTCGTACTGGTTGGCGTTGATGAAGCGGGACAAACAGCAGGCGAGTGACATCCCGATCAGCTGAGACGGAGAGAGCAGAGTTAGCCTCAGTCTGTAGTTCCCCACAGTTTCCCTCTGCCTACAGTCCTTATGCTAAGCTACGCTAAAGACATTCTGCAGCTGATTCAACTCAAACCAGGAAGTAAGTGTTGTGTTGTGCATTATTGTGTAGTACTGAGTGTGTACCTGAGAGAAGGCGATGCCAAAGGTCACTCCAGCGATGATTCCCATGTTGCTCTCGATGAACGACGTCACCAACTCATAACATCCCTGCAGACACAGTGAGGTCATTCATGTGTGTACGTTATGATAAATCTGTTTATCTTCTGTTTAAATTCTAATTAATTTATTGTTTATGTACAAAATAATTAAAGATTTTAATCCAATAAGAAGTTTCATAAATCACAGCTGTTAAGAATCAAGACTCAGAAGCATCGAATCATCCATCGGACTTCGTCCAATCAGGGATGTTGTTGCAGACAGATGACCACGGACAGAGAGGTGTGTGTGTGTGCGTGCGTGCGTGCGTTTCTGACCTGTTTGTGGACTTTACGTGCAGCCAGGGTCGTGTTCTTCAGGTCTGCTGAGCTGCAGTCGGAGTAACTGATGCAGCAGCTGGAGGGAACTCCACCGACGGGGAAATACACGCTGCTGAACCAGCTGGTGTAGTTATAGACTCCACAGCATTGTAACTACGGAAACAAAGAGGGACATATGAATCTGTCTGCTTTTCATCACATTTAAAATAACTATAAAATATCTGATGGTCAATAATTTTCTCAAACATGTAGAGGACCGAGAATAAAACCCTGAGGAACCCCAGAAAACTGTTTACACTCTGAGAAAATGATCCTGAACGCAGCTGAACGCTAACTGTTAATCATTACTAATCTAAAAGGTGACTCATTAAAACGAGCTCCATGTGTTGTTGTTGTTCAGTCGATGCTTAAATTAAAAAAAAAGAACATTTTAAAGAGACACTCACTCTTCGTTGAACTCCGTCCACAGCCAGACTCCTGTCGTCTCGACCGTCGTATGTCATCACAGCTTCACTGTACGTGGTGAGGAACGTCCCTTTAATCTAAACACAAACACGGGATGTGTCATCAGTGTGAACGTTTGTTTTTGTTTGAAAATGTTGTTTTATAAAACGTGTAAAGACCTCGTGACGAAAGACGAATCCAGAGATTCCAGCGATGAGTTCAGTCATGAAGACGGCAGACAGAAAGACGGCGTACTGAGGAGAGGACAGGAAGAAGTGAATGACCTGAACACGTCCTTCTCTCTGATCATCTGAACACACACACACATCAAACACACACCACTCTGAGCATCCAGGGGCGCCCCCTGCAGGTGGCGAAGCAGCCAAACAGTCCGAACACGATGATAGCGAGCCCGGTGCCCGTCAGGATGTAGGGAGCGTTGGAGGGGGCGCTGGAGATCAACAACATGTAGGGGCCCAACATGAACTTCCACCATAACCCCACCGACAGCAGCACCACACCTGACACCTGAGGGGGCGGGGCTACAAGTTAGACTGTCAGCCAATGAGGAAGCATTTAAATCTTATTCTTACATTTTCATCCGTCTTTGAAGTGAAAAAGATAAAGTGTGTGTGTGTGTGTGTGTGTGTGTGTGTGTGTGTGTGTGTGTGTGTGTGTGTGTGTGTGTGTGTGTGTGTGTGTGTGTGTGTGTGTGTGTGTGTGTGTGTGTGTGTGTGTGTGTGTGTATGTGACTGAGTGTGTGTGACTGAGTGTGTGTGACTGAGTGTGTGTGACTGAGTGTGTGTGTGTGTGTGTGTGTGTGACTGAGTGTGTGTGTGTGTGTGTGTGTGTGTGTGTGTGTGTGTGTGTGTGTGTGTGTGTGTGTGTGTGTGTGACTGAGTGTGTGTGACTGAGTGTGTGTGACTGAGCCTCACATGACTCTGTAATGAGCTCTGACATCAAAGTGTTAAACTGACAAACAGACGAGAAGAAAAGAGTCGGAGAGAGTTTGATCCCGGACAAGACTATTACCTGGTCCACACACCCAGAAGGAACAACACAAACAACAACACAAATAACAACAACACAAACAACAACACAAACAACAACAGAAACTCAAACGTGTGCATGTTTATCAAACTGATTAGCATGTTTCAAAGAATAGATTCATATCATTTTCAATCCGAGTCAGACTGTCTCTCTATGGTCTGTGTGTCACGCCTCCTCCTCCTCATAGAATACTTTTCTTTTAATATGAAACACAAACAAATATAATCTGTAGTCTTGTATAAAAAGCTTCTACATTTAAGGAGGTAAGGAGGATTTAAGAGGTTATAAAAAGCATCATCAGTCAGTAAAAAACACGGTGTTTGCACGCTGGATTAAAAACTCTCTCAGCATCAGACAATCAAAGTTTCAGTTCTGAATGTGTGTTTTGTTTTTCTCACCCAGAAGATGAAGGAGTAGAGCAGCACCAGCGTCTTCAGACAGAAGATCACCGGTTTAGTTTCAAACCTCCTCGGAGCCATGATCACTCTGAAGACCCCGACCCGGACTCTGTCTCACCTTCTGTCTCAGTCCCTGTCTCGGTCTGTCCTCCTTTATCCCCCCGGCTGGCTCTCCCTCTCTCACAGGAATCTAGCACAGTTCAGAAAAGATCCCACAAAAGGATGTCAACAATAACAACACACACTGGGTACAGAAACTAAATATTAGAAAATGGAAAAACCTCCACAAAAATATTTCAAAATGGCAAAAAAAATATTTAGAAAATGACCCAAATGTTTCACTTAAGAGACTCAAAAAATGTACAAAATAAAAGAAACATGTTGTACCAGAAATGACTCAAAAATAACACAAGAAAGACGCACAAATATTCCATCATAGTGGTGAAAAAACTGCATGAAAAGACGTAATCGACACAAAAGACATCTTCATCATCATCATCATCATCATCACAAACGTCCAAACACAGGAGTCCCCTCACAGGATCTCTACTAGAAATGTAAACAGACTTACCGGGCAGAAGAGCAGAAGGAAGAAATCGGTCTGAGAATATAAAACAACACACACATGTATTGTTTCATGTGTGTAACGTGTGTGTGTGTGTGTGTGTGTGCAGCAGAGCAGCTCTCAGAGTGAATGAGCCATGCGGACGCCGCCGCCACACAAACATGTGAGCCTCATTCTTCACATTCTCACCTCACAATTAACACAGAGGTGATCGTCAGCGAGCCGACCTGCTGCGGCACGTCCCCATCAGCGCCCAAACACACCCCGACAAACCCCCTTTAAACTTTATTCTTTATTCATGGAGAATTCAGAAGACTTTCTTTGATGCTGACTGACTCAAACATGAAGCAACGAGTGAAAGTCCAGAGAGTTTTATTTCTTTTACACAGAAACAATCATTTTATAAAATAGGATTTTAAAAAGCAGGAAATCACCTTTCCATTCATTGATTCACATTTTGGGTTCATTAGTCCGAGTGTCTGAGCGGAGGAGAAGCTGCAGACGACTCAAACTGGATTTTAAAATATTTTTTACAGCGTAAAATGAAATCATGTTTCATTCCCTGAATGCTGCATAACAAAGACATATGAAGAATTATCTGAGCGATTGAAGGATATAATAAAACTTTTACTGAGATCCAGCAGAGATAAAAAGGTCTCTTTATAAACGATGACTCAGCTGTGATGACGTCTCAGACCTGAACGGACCAGGGCGTGAAGGAACCGGGCTCTGCAGGCGGACACTGCAACAGAAACACCACACACAGTGTTCACCACTTCTCCGTTTAAATAAAGGTCATTCAAACTGTTTAAATAAAGGTTATTCAAACTGTTTAAATAAAGGTCATTCAAACTGTTTAAATAAAGGTCATTCAAACTGTAGAAAATGTTTGAGCATCTTTTCTTTAAGCTTTGAGAGAAACACTGACGGAGAATTATGTGATGCAGACGTGACCTTCAAAGAATGAAGCCATGATGACTTCAGACCTAACTGAACGATTTCATACCAGTTTGGTGAATCTGTCACTGCAGGCGTTGCGGATCCTCTCGGCGGAGGCGGGGCTATCCAACCTGAAGGGCCCACTGATTCCTGACTCCGCCCGGGAAGCGCTGATGGCGTCTTTGATGGCGTAGAAAACGGACGCCGCCAGAAAGAGAGGAGGCTCGCCAACAGCCTGAGAGGATGACAAATCATAACATGAACTCCTCTTGGTTTAATCTGAGCAGTTTGTCAAAATGTTCTCAGAGTTTTCACCTTGGAGGCGAACACGGCCTTCTGGTTCGGAGCGTCTCGCAGCAGCGACACGGTCAGCTGGGCGGGAATGTCGCCAAACGCAGGAATCTTATAGGAACCGGGACCCCGCGTGAGGAGGACCCCCTGAGGGGAGTAATGAAGCTCCTCCAGAGTGAAGAGACCCAGACCCTGCATGAAGGCCCCCTCCACCTGAGAACACAAAGTAAGACCTGATGGGGGCGCTGCAGGGGGGCTCACAGGGTATTTAATTATTATGTTTAAGGGTTTTTGATGGACTCTGAGGGAGGGCGCCCTCACCTGCCCGATGTCTATCGCCGGGTTCAGACTGTTACCGACGTCCATCACGATGGTCGTACTCAGGTTCTACAACACAAACACAAATAAACATGAACACAGGAAACAGATTTGAATACGTTAAGATACAAGAAGGTATCATCGACATAGAGGAGAATAATACAGACATTCTGAGGTTATTTAAGAATATAATAAACAACAGTGGGCCTCAAACTGTTCTCTGTGGGACACCACCAACATTTGATTTACCTTGTGAGCTCCGGTCAGACAGTCGATCTCCACCTCTGAACAGGCCACGCCGTAGCTGAAGTAGTTAAACGCTCGGCCCGAGTTGGTTTCAAAGTCGTAGCCGAGATTTGGAGTCCTGATCAGAAACAGGAAACACTTAAAGGAGATCTGTTCTGTTGATCCATATTTAAAAACAAAATAGCTCTTTCAAGGACACGCCCACCCATAGCTCACTCATATTTCCCTGTGACTGCAAAGACAGCTGGCCAATCAGAGGAGAGTGTGCACGTGGGGAGGCGGGCCTTAAAGAGACAGTAGCTGAAATGAAGCGTTTCAGGCCGAGGCTGAAATGAGGGATTTTACTGACGCCAGTATCAGATACATAGGGAGGTTTTCGACAGTTGTCCCAGTTATCCTCACTTTCACCATCATTAATGGTGAAGGTGAATATAATAGATCTCCTTATCAGCTCTCTCTGTGAACTCACTTGTAAAAGCCGTTTGTACTCAGGTTGACTCTGTCGAAATACGCTGCCCTCACCTGAAACACACAGAGACGTGCTGAGTCACACCTTTCACCTTCATTTTAAATACAAGAAGACAGATGTTTAAGATCTTCTCTTGCTCACCCAGTCCTCCCATGATCCTTTGGGGTTCTTGGTCTTGTATGGTTGCAGACGTTGGTTGAGAGTCTCGCAGGCGTTCTGCACGGCACCTCCGTTGAGGTCTGAGGAGGCGGAGGCGGCGGTGGGGCTGGTGTTAGGGACTGTGTTGGTGCTGGTCTCTGAGATGTGGATCTTTGAACAGGGGATACCCAGGACCCTGCTCGCTACCTGAGAGAGACACACACACACACACACACACACACACACACACACACACACACACACACACACACACACACACACACACACACACACACACACACACACACACACACACACACACACACACACACACACACACACACACACACACACACACACACACACACACACACACACACACACACACACACACACACACAGATTAACCTGACCATTCAAATCCATGTCTCAGCATTCACCTCCAGTTCTTCTAGTGGCCACTAGATGGTGCTAAGTGTGCTTGTATTGTGTAGTATTTAAAGGCTGAGGTACCTGGACCATCTTGGTGTGCAGACCCTGTCCCATCTCCGTCCCCCCGTGAGTCAGCAGCACCGAGCCGTCAGTGTAGATATGAACCAGAGCTCCAGCCTGCACACAAACACAAACAAAGAATATTGACATTTTTTGAAACGCGGTCTTAAAACTCATTTATTCAGTCTGCCTTTTAGAAAGTGCTTTATATAAATTCAAATCTTAACCTTATTGTTTTGTCTTTTTTATCCTACTACAATTATAAATATTCTTCTCCTATGTATTAATTTGAAT